GGGGTTATTTTATGTATGTTATATTTGCAGCAGCAATATTTCTTACATGCTCAAAGCAGCATGTTGTAAATTGGTTGGCAGTAGCAAGTCTCAGTACTTGCTCTGCCGCAGCAGCAGCGTAGCAGATCTATTCCGCCAAGACCAAATACATTAACATTGTCATGTACATTACCATGCCAATCCCTCCGAGAGTTGTCATGACAGAAATAAATATATATATATATATGGGTAGGAATGGGGACAGGATGTTGAGAGTTTAAAAATTGTTTATAGCTTTTGTACTATTATTGTGAACTGCACAATTGCTGTTTCTGTCACTTTTTTTCTTGAGAAGAATTGTGTTTATTTAGAGGTGCGGAATGTCTTTACAACCACATCAAACGGGAGACTTTTCAGACACGCACTCCAACTTCACCTCAGCCTCAGACGCGAGTCAAACGAGCGCACAAAACAGTACAAGAGACGAGGACCTTCAGTAGAACAACAGTGAACTGCGGTCAGATGAGATGTTCTCAGGTCATATGTCAGTAAAAACGAATATTCCTGTCCTGTCAGCCGTTATACTGTGCTCGTAGCACCTGTATCATTTCATATTAAAGCGCGAATTAAACTACGAGCATGCGTGTCAGATCCGCGTCACGTTCTGCAGTGGCAGCTCTTAAAGGAATAGCAACCAAAACAACCTAATAACCAGCTGCTGTGATGTCTGTTCATCAAAGAACAAAAGAAAAAAAGGAAATCAATAAATTTTGTAGCTTTAAGGATTCATCTATATTTAATTTAGAATTTAGTGTTTGATAACTTTATTCAATTTCTGTATATTTCCTACTTGCTGAAGGGCACAGGTAGCTAGCAGTACATAGTATGATTTATTAATAATGTTTATTGAGTTTGGTATTTTTAAAAACACTGTTTTAATGCATTAAGCCATGTTTTTCAATGATCATTTGCATTGATGCATTTGGCAGACACTACATCTTTGCATTCCAAGTGTGACCAGTTCATGCATTCTCTGGGAATCAAACCCATGACCTTGGTGTTGCGAGCGACATGATCTACTGTTTGAGCTACACATATGATATTTTTTTATTTCAGACTGACAGGAAAAATCAAGCGGCTGGAGAAGCTGTGCGGTGTGTCAAAGATGTCTGAATGTGTATTTAAATCGCAACTTTAAGGCCAGAAACACAGTATGCAACACTAGATCAGTGCATTACATGACTGTATATATGTAAAGGGTTATTACATGCAAAAAAGATAATACTGTCATCCTTTATTCTCATTCAAACCTGCATGATTTTCTTTCTTTCTCCTGTGGAATGCAAAAAATATATATTTTGAAGACCAAACAATATTGGACCCCATTGACTTTCATTATTTGCACTGCAACAAAAATATTTTTGTTTTGTTTTCCAGTACAAATATCTAAACATTCATAAATCAAGATGCATTTATTTGTTTTCCGTTTTAATTAAGTTGATTTTTCTGACTCCACTGACAGATATTAGTTCATGTTTTAATCTTAAAATCACTTCATTTTGATCAATTTCTTAGAAAATAAATCTTCATACCTTATATAATTTTGCTTGCATCTTAATTTAAAAATAATTAGATGTTTGTACTGGAAATAGCAGTAATAAACTCAGTGTGTTGCAGTGTGGACATCAGCATTCATACGATTATAGTTTTTATAAATATTCTGAATTGTTTTTATTTTCATATTTTGTGTTTTCATTTTAATTTTAGTTAAAGTTTTAGTAAGTTTGCTGTGTGTTTTTGTCATTTTTAGTAGTTTTTTATGTCTATATAGTTTTTATTTATTTAATTTTTTTTCAGTTTTAGTTATTTAAGTAAATCAAGTTAAAATGAGGAATGCTGCTTTGGCAACTAGCTGAAATCATTATTTTATTTTATTTCACTTAACTTTTAAGTCATTAAAAGTACAAAAAAAAGTTTTTTAAAGGTTTTAGTTGCAGTTTCAGTTTTAGTTAACTATAATAACTCTGGTGGACAGAAATAAAAAAAGTAAGTCATACAGGTTTGAATGACACGAGGAGAGTAAATGATGACGAAACAATCATTTTTAGGTTAAAATGTGGAGACTTACTTGTTATCCTGAATCTGGATGCGGCTCCAGTAGAGCGGTTTCATGGGGCAGGCCGGTTCCACGGCCGGTTTACGCGCCGCTTTCTCCGTCGCCTGTCCGAATCCAAACCCACCGAGAGCAGGAGGCGATATATATATATATATAAAAGATATATATATTGAAAACATATTGGGAAAAAAAACTAATATTCATCAAAATTACCAAAACTTTAAAATTTAAATTAAAAACAAAAACTATCAAAATAAAAACTATATTAAATATTAATACAAAATATTAACAAAAACTATTACAGTATATCAATGACACTGAAACAATGCAAAACATTATTTTCTTCCTCAGTTTTTTTTGTCTTGTTTTCCAATACAAATTTCAAACATTTTTAAATCAAGATACATTTACTTTAGATGCAAAATTACATTGGATAAGAAGTGTTGTTTTCTGAGAAATTGATCCAAATTGAGTTTATAACAACAAATATCTGAAAATTAAATATTAACCCTCTTAGCGCAAAAGTCGCAAAATTGCGACAAGACGTCATACTTAATAAAATAGACTGTAGTTCCTAATATGGTGTAATATCTCATTTGTATTCCCTACCACTAGATGGCAGACATGTAGTAAGAGGAGGAGGCGGCGGTGGAGGGGCGGAGCTACCAGGAAGAGGAGGCGGTCCTGGACCCACACCCAAACTCATGCTGATGGAGTCCAGGTCCAGTTGTTTGGGCGGGCTGGAGCTGGAGCTCGGCTCTGGTCTGGCCCCGTCGCCCGCTGGGGTTTTGATGAAGGTTTCGCGGTCGGTCTGGACGCACACGTTGCGGAAGCTTTTGGGCGGCTGCTCGTCTTCGGTGGAGACACAGACGTCCTGTAGCTCGCCGCGCTCCTGGACGGTGTTATACACCTGCGTCCGCTGCACCCCACCGATGAGCGACTCCAGACGAGACACGACCTCCGCATGCTCGCCTCGAACCTGGAAGATCTGCAGCTCGAAATCCGCCTGGAGTCACACACACACAACAAGCAATTACTATTAGTATGCAACGGACAATAAAAACATCAGGGTTATCACTGTTTATTAAAACTAAACTAAAATAAATCACTTTTGTTTTAAGCTAGTTACCAAGGAAACATTTATAATTTTCGTTCAGTTTAACTTGTTTAGCTTAGTTTAAATAATAATATGAATAATTAATAAATCAAGAATAATAAAATAATAGTAATAAATAATAAAAATGAATAAAAACCATATAGATATCTGGAAAAAATCTAATAAAAAAAAACAAACAAACATCAAAATTATTAAAATATGAACTAAAATTAAAATGAAAATTATAAAACTAAAAAATAATTCAAAATATTAAATAAGTATATATATATACATTTTAAAAAATCTAATAAAAATGAACAAAAAACAACATCAAAAAATACTACGACTAAAAAAAAACAGACAATATAAATATAAATAACTAATTCAAAA